TTAATTGATATCTACAGAATACTCCACCCAACAATCATGGAATATACATTCCACTCTCATCACCACATGGAACTTACTCTATGATCAACCACATCCTTGGCCATAAATCAAGCATAAACAAATTTCATAAGATTGAAATTCTGCAACGCACCTTCTCAGATCACAGTGGAATAAAAATAAAAATCAACACAAAGTTCCCCCCAAACCCACAGAGACATGGACACTGAACACTATGATGATAAACAACTCCTGGGTCAACATGGAAATCAAAACAGAGATTAGGCCGGGCTTGGTGGTTCAGCCTGTAACCCCAGCACTTTGGGAGGCCAAGGTGAGTAGACTGCCTGAGTCCACGGGTTCGAGACCCACCTGGGCAATTTGGCGAGGCCTCATCTCTACAATAAATCAAAAAATTAGCCGGGTGTGGTAGCGCGTTCCTGTACTTCTAGCTACTTGGAAGGCTAAGGTGGAAGGATTGCTGGAGCCCAGCGGGTCGAGGCTGCAGTGGCCAGGAGCGGCCACTGCACTCCAGTCTGGGCGACTGAGTGAGACTCCAACTCAAAAAAAAAAAAAAAATAAAACAGAGATTAAAAGACACCTGGAAACAGGCCGGACTCGGTGACTCAGCCTATAATCCCAGCACTTTGGGAGGCCGAGGCAAGTAGATTGCCTGAGCCTGTGGGTTCGAGACCTGCCTGGGCAACTTGGCAAGACCTTGTCTCTACAATAAATAAAAAATTAGCTGGGCGTGGTAGCACACACCTGTAGTTCCAGCTACTTGGAAGGCTGAGGTAGAAGGATCGCTGGAGCCTAGCAGGCCGAGGCTGTGGTGGCTGGGAGCATGCCACTGCACTCCAGTCTGAACAACAGAGTGAGATGCCAACTCAAAAAAAAAAAAGATACATGGAAACAAATGAAAACAAAGAAACATCTTACCAAAAATCTCTGGAACGCCATGAAAGAGTACTAAAGAGGGGAATTTATATCTCTATGAACACACATTAAGAAAATGGAAAGATCACAAGTTAACAACAGAACAAATCATTTATGGAAGCCAGAAAGGCAAGACCACCAAAACCCTAACTTCAGCAGAAGAATTCAGATCACTAAAATAAAAGCCGAAATTCATGACATAGAAGACAAAAAATAATACAAAAAAATCAATGAAACCAAAATCTAGTTTTTTGCAAGGATAAACAAGATTAATGGACCCCTAGATAGAATGATCAAGAAAAAGAGAGAAAAAGCCCAAATAAACATAATCAGAAATGCAAAAGATCAAGTCACAACCAACCCTGAAGAAATACAAAGATTATCAGAGATTACTTTGTATACCTGTATGGAAACAAACTCGAAAACCTACACGAAATGTAGAATTTTATGACATCACACAATCTACCCAGGTTGAAACAAGAAGAAATCAAGACCCTAAATAGACAAGTAACAACCCAGGAAATCAACTATGTTATAAGAAAACTACCTACCAAAAAAAGCTCTGGACCAGATGGCTTTCCAGCAGAATTCTACAAAACGTACAAGGAGGAACTGATACCAATCCTATTGAAAGTATTCCAGGCAATCAAGAAAGATGGAACTCTCCCTAAATCATTTTATGAAGCTAATATCACATTGATACCCAAACAGGGTCAGGATCTAACAAAAAAAGAGAACTACAGGCCAATATCCTTGATGAACATAGATGTTAAAATTCTCAACAAGATTCTAGCACATCGGATCCAACAACATATCTCAAAAATCATCCATCATGACCAAGTAGGCTTCATCCCCAGGATGCAGGGCTGGTTCATCATCCGCAGGACCATAAACATAGTTAAATACACCAACAGATGTAAAGACAAAAACTACATGATTATATCATTAGATGCAGAAAAAGCTTTTGATAAAATCCAGGACCCCTTCTTGATAAAAATCCTCTAGTATCTAGGCATAGATGGAACATACCTCAAAATGTAAGAGTCATCTACAAGAAATCCACAGCCAAAATACTGCTAAACAGACAGAAATTGGAACCATTTCCCCTGAAATCCAGAACAAGACAAGGATGCCCACTCTCACCCCTCCTGTATGGCATAGTATTGGAAGTCCTAGCTAGAGCAATCAGACAAGAGAAGGAAATCAGGGGTATCCAAACAGGAAAAGAGGAATTAAGTTATCCATATTTGTAGATGACATGATTCCATACCTTGAAAATCCAAGAGAATCTGTCAAAAACTTCCTTGCAGTGATAAAGAACTTTGGCAAAGTCTTAGGATATAAAATAAATGTGCAAAAGACAGCTGCACTCCTACACGCTAACAATAAACAAACAGAAACCCAAATAAAAAGCATAATCCCATTCACAATAGCCACAAGAAAAATGAAATGCCTTGGCATCTTCCTAACCACAGAAGTCAAAGACCTTTACAACAAAAACTACAAAACAATGTTCAAAGAAATCAAAGAGGACACAAACAAACGGAAAAATATTCCATGCTCATGGATTGGAAGAATCAACATTGTTAAGATGTCCATCCTACCCAAGGCAATCTACAGATTTAACACTATACCCATTAAATTACCAGCAGCATTCCTCTCAGACCTGGAAATGACAATACAGGAATTCATATGGCAACATAAACAACCACAAATAGCCAAAACAATACTCAGCAAAAAAAACAAAGCGGGAGGCATCATGGTCCCATACTTTAAGCTTTATTATAAAGCAATAATAATCAAAACAGCCTGGTATTGGTACAAGAACAGGCATATAGACCAAAGGAACAGGATACACATTCCAGAAGCAAAGTCTTAATTTCTCAACCAATTCATCTTCAACAAAGCCTCCACCACCAACCACTGAGGTTGGGAAAACTGGCTGACCACATGCAGGAGATTAAAACAAGACCCCTACCTATTTCCACACAAAAAAAATCAAATCTAAATGAATCAAAGACCTAAACATAAAACCTCAAACTATAAGAACTGTAGAAAATGCAGGAGACACCCTTATGGAAATTGGAACTGGCAACCAATTCCTGATAAAAAACCCAAGTGCCCATGCCATAAGACGTAAGACAGACAAGTGGGACCTCATCAAACAGAAAAGCTTCAGCAAAGTCAAAGTAACCATTGAGAGAGCAGGGAGACAGCCCACAGACTGGGAAAAAAATATTTGCCAACTGTGTATCTGACAAAGGCCTAACATCTAGAGTCTACAAGGAACTCAAACATGCCAAAAAGAAAAAAACAAACAGCCCCATTACAAAGTGGGCAAAAGATATGAATAGACACTTCTCAAGAAGACATATGAGCAGCCAATAGACACTAAAAAATTGCTCAGCCTCACTAGTCATCAAAGAAATGTAAATTAAAGCCATACTGCAATACCACCTAACTCCAGTCAGGATGGCCATCATCAATAACAAAAAACAACAGATGCTGGAGAGGATGTGGTGAAAGGGAACACTTCTACACTGTTGGTAGGGGTGTAAACTAGTATAGGCTCTGTGGAAACAGGTGTGGTGATTTCTAAAGTCCTAAAAATCAATCTCCCAAACAACCCCGTAATCCTCCTACTGGGAATATACCTAGAGGAACTCAAAAGATACCTGCACATGCATGTTTACTGCAGCATTATTCACAATAGCAAAAACATGGAACCAACTGTGCTGCCCATCAAAATAGGACTGGATTTTTAAAATGTGATACATATACACAATGGACTATTACACAGCCATAATGAAGGACAAGCTTATGAACTTGGCAGCAACTTGGATGGACTTAGAGGGTATAATACTGAGTGGTCTATCACAGAAACAAAGACCTGAGTATCACATGTTCTCAATCATAAGCGAACCTTGAACAACTATCGTGATACTGTAAGAAAGGGATTGGCAGTAGTGGGAAACTGCCAGGGGAGGGCGGGAGCAGGACTGGCAGTAGTGGAAAACCACCAGGGGAGGGGGGGCATACCTTGTCAACAAGGCTACCTGCATAATGAACATTTGTACACCTAACCCTGAATTGTAACCCACATGTTTAAAATAAAAAATTTTTTCAATAATGAGATATTGTTTTTCACCTATCACGTTGGCAAAGGTCAAAAGTCTAAAAATGTATCAAATCATCTAGGGTGCAGGGAAAGAGACCTCCCACACATTGCTGGTAGGCGCACAAATTGGCACAGCTTTCATGGAGCACAGTCTGGCATATCTGCCAAAATTACAAATGCACATATACTCTGACTCGACAATTCCACTTCAAGGAATTTATACTATAGATATTTATATGCATAAGAAATGATGTATGCGACATTATCTATTATTACAAGAGCCTAGAAACAATCAAAATGTCCATCAACAGAAAAACAATTAAACATTCTGCAGATACTCTGCAGTCATTTAAAAGAGTAAAAAAGACCAGGCAGAGTGGCTCAAATTTGTAACCCCAGCTACTCAAGAGGCTGAGGCAGGAGAATCACTTGAGCCCAGGAATTTAAAACCTTCCTGGGCAACACAGCAAGATCCTATCTCTACCAAAAACAAACAAAAAAACAAAGAATAAGGCAGTTGCAGATGTGCTACGTATACAAAATATACTTGGCGGAAAAAAGCAAGGGACACATGGCATGTGTGGTTATGCAATCATTGACTTTAAAACAATTTTGTAAAACCACATGGGATATAAGTTTAAACATCTGCACTATCTTTAGAAGAAATTTCTTTTTTTGGTGAGAAAGCAGGCTTTATTAAGAAGATAGAAAATCTCCCACAGTGGGAGGGGACCTGAAAGAGGTTGCCAAGAAGAAACTTCTATCAGTGATCATCTCTGGAGAAGGGAGGTGGCTATGTGGAGAAAGAAAGTTTATTTCCTACTTTTCAAACCTTTTGGGTTTTCCACTGTACATGTATGACAGACAGAACATTTCAAAACATTTTTAAAAAATCAATAAGTTCATATGGCACTCTATACAAAATTTAGACCTACATGCAATCTCTTACCTGCTAGTCGGTGCAGGGAAAGAAAATGAGAGAAGTTGATTCCAGAAAGGGTCATTCTCAGAGACAGATTCTGTGCCTGATAACTTCTTTAAGTATTCATTTTGAGGAAGATCACCGATTCTGCTGCTGTTTGATCCCATCTTCTAACCTGGTAGATACCTTGTCCTTAAACCTGCATTTCCACAAGACAACCTATTAAAGAAATGGGAAAAAAATCTTCAAACTTGTTCAAAATAGTCATCATATTTTTCCTACATATAAAAAACTATAAACTGGGTGGGCAGAGTGGCTTACACCTGTAATCCCAGCACTTTGGAAGGCCGAGACAGGAGAACTGCTTGAGCCTAGGAGTTCAAGACCAGCCAAGGCAACATAGTGAGACCTCATCTCTAAAAAATAAAAGAAAATAAAATACAAAAACTATCCAGGTATGGTGGTCCGCACTTGTAGTCCCAGCTACTTAGGAGGCTGAGGCAGAAGAATCACCTGAGCCCAGGAGGCCAAGGCTGAGGTGAGCTGGGAATGTACCATTGCACTCCAGTCTGGGAGAAAGAGTGAGACCCTGTCTCAAAAAAAAAACAAAAAGGCTAGGCTCAGTGGCTCAGCCTGTAATCCCAGCACTTCAGGAGGCCGAGGCAAGTGGATTGCCTGAGCCCACGGGTTTAAGACGCACCCGGGCAACTTGGCAAGACCTCGTCTCTACAACAAATAAAAAATTAGCCAGGCATGGTAGTGCACACCTGTAGTTCTAGCTACTTGGAGGGCTGAGGTGGAAGGATAGCCAGAGCCCAGCAGGTCAACGCTGGGGTGGCTGCGAGTGTGCCACTGCACTCCAGCCTGGACGACGGATTGAGACTCCGACTCAAAAATAAAAAGAAAATAAGATGAATAAATGGCACTATTTTAAAATGACCATCACAACGAAAGGCAACTATGGGCTCAGTGACCAGAGGTGGCTCAGGTAGGAGAAAACATACATGAGCAAGTGATCGGCCTTCTTACATATATCCCTCCTCATTCCACAAAGGCGCTTAAGCCACAGCCAGATTTAGAAGCATGGCTTCCATGTTCCTTGTGGAAGCTATGATATTACAATTATTTGTAGCTATCAGCCCTGCTGCAGTCTGTTATGATGTCAGGGCCTCAGGCCACAGGGGCCGGCCTCAGGAGACTGGCCCACTCTCTCTGACCTCCTCCAGTCCTCCCTTCTCCTGCCCAGGCAGGACTCTAAACTGAGGGTAGGTCCCAAGACCCTCATTCCACAGAGGATCCTGCCCATACCCTGGGGAAAGATCGCTGCACAGAGAGGCCAAGAAAAGATCTGAACAGACAGGTCTTGGGAGCTTCCTACTAGATCAGTATGAGCTCATACCCTTTGTGTCCAGACACATGTCTACATAGTGGGCAACCTTGCCTACATCATGAAGTCTCCATAAAAACACAAAGGAGGCTGGACATGGTGACTGAAGCCTGAAATCCCAGCACTTTGGGAGACCAAGGCGAGTGGATTGTCTGAGCCCACGGGTCCAAGACCAGCCCGGGCAACTTGGCGAGCCCTCATCTCTATAATAAAAAATAAAAAGTTAGCGGGCATGGTAGCACACACCTATCGTTCTGGCTACTCGGAAGGCCGAGGCAGAAAGATCGCCGGAGCCCAGCAGGTCGAGAGTTTGGTAGCCATGACCATGCCACTGCACTCCAGCCTGGGCGACAGAGTGTGACTCCAACTCAAAAAAAAAAAAAAAAAAAAAAACATGGACAGTTTTCAGGAGCTACAGAAGAGCTGGGCGCAGCGGAGGGTCCTGGAAGCACGGAAGCCCCGCCCCTTCTCACACCTTGTCCTTCATCTGCATCCTTCGTAGGATCCTTCCTAACACACCAGTAAATGTGTTCCCGAGTTCTGTGAGCCACTCCAGCAAATTAACCAAACCAAAGAGGGGATCGTGGAAGCCACCACTGGAAGCCAGTCGGTCAGAAGTTTCGGAGGCCCAGATTTGGGAAGCTGGGCCCTTGCATATGAGTGAGAAACACTGATATGGTTTGTTAATCACCTGCCCTGACAGGACCCTCAATAACAGCTGACTCCAATTTAAGCCACTAAATTAAGCCAGCTAACCATACCGTTTAATTTCTTAAAATAGGTATTGTTAAACCCAGTTTTAAAATGTTATAAAGAAATATCCTAAAATATATAAATTCCTTACTTACCATACTCTATTCTAAAGCTACTTTAGGTTTTTTTTGGAGTTGGAGTTGGAGTTGGAGTCTCACTCTGTTGTCCAGGCTGGAGTGCAGTGGCACGTTCACGGCCACTGCAGCCTCAAACTGCTGGGCTTAGGTGACCCTTCCACCTCAGCCTTCCAAGTATCTGGTACTTTATGTATTTTTAGTTATTTAAAATTGTTTAATATAATCTTACAAAAGCATGCAATACACTAGTAAAAAAGAATGAGCCAGAGCTGCTACAATTAACAAAATGAATTCACCTCAAAAATGTAAAAATTCCTCAAAAGAAACCTACAAGCTGAGTGTGGTGGCTCTCGCCTATAATCCCAGCGCTTTGGGAGGCAGAGGCAAAAGCACTGCCTGAGTTCAAGGGTTTGAAACCAGCAAGGGCAACATGGTGAGACCTCGTCTCTACAATAAATCAAAAAATTAGCCGGACATGGTGGTGCACATCTGTGGTTCCAGCTACTTGTAAGGCTGAGGTGGAAGGATCACTTAAGACCAGCAGGTCGAGGCTGCAATGGCTGTGAGCATGCCACTGCAATCCAGTCTAGGCGACAGAGTAAGACTCCTACTCCAAAAAAAAAACAACCTACATAATAATGTACATGGCATAACTTTGTTTATAAACATGTAAACAATGTTATGGGTTTACTCATATCTATTATTAAACAAAATAAATCTATCAAAACAAAATAAACAGCAAATTCTAATAAATCAGAAAAGGCAGAGAGGGGCCCCAGCAGATTCAATAAATACTTTCTTAAGCAGCAAAGGGAAGGAAGAGAAGGAGAGAAGACGCACATGTGGCAAGTGTGTAGATTTGCTGAAACAGACAGTACATCCATGGGCGGTTATTGATTATAAAAAAAAGAGAGAGAAGAATGGATTCTCAACCTCTCAGCAGCAATACAGGAAGCTAGTTCAGAGGGAAGTAATGCCTTTAAAATATAAGGAGGAAATAATTTAACTAGAACTCTATTGCTAGCCTTTAAAATATTAGGAGGAAATAATTTAACTAGAACTCTATAGCTAGCCAAGCTACCAATTAAGTATGAAGTTAGAATAAAGACATTTTCTGACTTGCCAAGATTCAAAAAAAAACTCCTAGGCACCCATATTCAGGAAGCTATTAGAAGACATACTCGGGGGGAGGGGGATGGGATTAACAGTAGCAAATATCTGTCGGGGGATGGGAAAACACCTCTTATCAACAGGGTGCCTGAATGAAACGTAATTGTACACCTAACCCTTAACTGTACCCCACAAAACCATAATAAAAAATACTGATTAATTAAAAAAAAAAAAAAAAAGAAGACATACTCCTCCCAAACGAAGGATAAGTCAAGAAGAAGACACGGAATTCAGGAAACAGGATTCGGCACAGAGCAGTGGTGAAGTCACAGGAAAAGAGCCCTGCAGCAGGCTGGGACACACATCAACATAGTTTCCAGACCCCCAAAAGAAAAAACAGAACTGATAGGTCACTTGATGTGCCTGACCTTATTCTGTGAAGTGCTAAAATACTATAGGAGAATTTGTAAGTAAAGAATAATAGTTACACAGAAAATAAATGACTTTTTAAAGACTATGTAACTTTGAGAAAACCAAAAATTGCTCAAGAAAGGTCATATAATCATAGTATATGACTCAATTCAACAGTAATCAATATTTATGTAATCACTATGACATACATGCTCAATAAAGATTGAACCAAAATTTGTGAAGTAACTATACTGAAAAGATTCTAGAAAAAAAAGTGGGGGAGGGGGTCTAAGAGTACTAAATCTTCATCTTCCATAATAGACAGGGAGCCAATAGAAAATATCTATTAAATCTACTAAATCAAAAAACAACAGTATCCCCTGAGCCCAGGTGGTTGAAGTTGCAGTAAGCTGTGATTGCACCACTGCACTCCAGCCTGGGTGACAGAGCAAGACCCTGTCTCCAAACAAACGAAAACAACAGCAAAAGCTTACTAGTTATAAACACGGAATTGAATAGCAAGAAGCCACAGCTGACAGATTTCCAAGTGGCCACCTCTAAGGGAATAGGACTCCGGAGTGGGGAGGGTACAGTTTTTTTTTTTACTTTAAATTCATGTTATTTGACTTTTCGAGACCCCATGTCCATATATTAGTTTTATTTAAAATTTGTTTGATTTCCTTCACTAGTTCATTTCCTATTCAGATTCAGTTTGTTAACCTACATGGAAAACAATGTCACCAGCATAACTAGGGTAATGGTAAGAAAACCCAGTAATCCCACTACTAGGTATAGCCCAAAGGAGCATAAATCATTCTACCAAAAAGATATCTGCACTCACGTGTTTACCACAGCACTATTTACAATAGCAAAAACATGGAATCAATAGTGTACAGGATAAAGAAAACATGGTACATGCACACTATGGAATATTGCACAGCAGAATGAAATCAAGTGCTTTGCAGCAATGCAAATGCAGCTGCAAGCCCTTATTAAGCGAACTAACACAGAAGCAGAAAACCAAACACCACATGTTCTCACCTGTAAGTGCTAAATACGGGGTACACATGGACATGAAGACAGACACAGACACTGTGGCCTCTGAAAGTGGAGGGGGGTCAAGGACTGAGAACTACTCATTGTGCACCATGCTCATCATTGAGATGACATGCTTACCAGAAGCCCACACCTCACCATCACGTAATATACCCATGTAATGAAACTGCAACGTGAGCCCCTTGAACATAAAAATAAAAATATAAAAAATAAAGAATGTGCATTCTTCTTTACTGAGGCACACAACTAGCAAGTTCAAGAAAATCTAGATCTGATACAGTTTAATGTCACAATATAGATTACTAAATTTGATATCTCCCAAAATCTAAATTTCTGTCATTGTATTAGGTTACTAACAAGCATTACAAGACTTAGTCAGAAAAGAGGAATTAAGTTCAAATTAAAGTAGTGACAGACACACAGAT